GGGTGTGGTGAAGGCAGAGAGAACTAGATACAATTGAGACTCAGTAGGAGGTAAAATTGAGGTGATCATTTGGATATGGGGGGTGAGAAAGAAGGGGAGTGCTGAGGGTGAAGCTCATGATTTCATTGGAGTTCTCACCCTCTACCATCACCTATATACCTCTTTTGGGTTTTTTTGTTTGTTTGTTTTGTTTTTCTTTAAGGCCAGGCAGTGTCAGATGAGGTAGTGTGAGGTACTAGAAGCTACAGAACAGGACATTGAAGGTTATGCTAAAATCCTGTGTGTACCTGGCCCACCAGCCTCCTTCTTTTAAACAATTTGACTGAACCTTACAGTATGTTGTTGTTTTAAGCCCATTGCAGTAAAACAGTCAGTTCCTGAATTTAACCTGCCTCCTTCCTGTCTGAGTGCGTACCCTGGGCATGATACACATAAGCCCCAAAGGTCGGCCAGGCATCCTCCTCCCACTTCAGCCCGAATATTCTCCAGGTTAGCTGAGAGTCAAACCACCTGTCTCATGTCCTCCTGTTCTCCAGAGAGCTTTGAGAAAATAGGTTTGTGTGACCCTGGCCCTTTCCTTTCTCTAAAAGCAGACAAATAATGCTTCAAAAGTTGACATGACAGTTAAGAGGATGACCCTTTTCTAACTTGGTGGGTCAGCCTGGGTGTTTGGTGCGAGCTCTGTGAACATTCATTATACGACAACTGTTTGGCCTGCCCTGTGCGTAAACCTGGGCAGAGGTGAACTCGAGGGTGAGTCAGGAAGGTTAGCTGGTCCAAGCCTTAACTGCCAGACGGTGGGTGTCAGGCCTGGGAGCCACCGGCCCTGCAACAATTCATCAGCAGTCAAATTAAGGGAATAATGCAAGTAGATATTTGATGAGAGATTATTTCTGGAGATTATAAGGATACAGCAATTGCAAATAAATCCCTGACCTTTTCTGAGCCTGGGCTCAGTAAAAGAGCTGAATCACCTGCTTGAAGGGATTAAGGACAGCCGCTTCCATCTGGCGGGCTGCTCAGACTTTTTCTGTCATTAGCAAACTCTGCTTGGTGGTGGTGGTGTTCTAAACCTTTTAGTGGAAACTGGATTTTCCAAGTAGGAGATCTCAATTAACTTAGATTATGTACCTGCTGGACAGAGATCAGGACTAATGGTCTGGGTATGGATGCACTGTAGTCCCTATCACATCAGTGGTACTCGGTACATGATAAATAAGAAAGCAGTTGTTCATCATTTGTAACCTAATCATAACATCAGCAGGAAACTCAGGTTCGTGAGAGTAGCAGTCAAACCTGTGTACGTGTGTGGGCGTGGGCGTGTGCGTGTGTGTGTGTGTGTGTGTGTGTGTGTGTGTGTGTGTGTGTGTGTGGTGGAGGGGTACCAGAGACAGAGAGATACAGGGAAGTGCTAGTGCAGGGGGCAGTGTAATAATTTATACCAGTTCCAGTTCAGAGATTTGGAATAATGATAGGTAAACTGTATTTCTTGAGTTCCTTATTGGGAACTGTTGTTTGATATGAATTCCATTTCTTAACACAGTTTTGTTTATAAAACTGCAATAATTATCAGTACGTGACTTGAACACATCAGAGGCTAATAGAGAGTTACCTTGCGCTCTTAGCATTTGACTTTGCAGTATGTGAATTTGTTATATGTATTTGGACTTAGACAACTAACATATACTAATAAATACTGTTACATGTGTAATGTGGAAGGCCTTTATGTGTAGCATCTGTGTAAGATTTATTTCAAGAAAAGGGGTTTGCTGGTATAAAACAAAATGGAGAACTTCTAATGTTGGGAAAACCAAAGAAGGAACATTTATTCAGAGATTTGTGGGGGGAGCGCGGGGGTTGCTTTGCCATTTTCCAAAATAAATAATTGTAGTTAATGTAGGTTAGTGGAATTTAGTTTTTTTCTGGTTATACTTGGGAGGTTCCATTGTGTTCTCTTCCATTAGCAGTTACTTACCTAGAAAAGAATCCAGCTTCCCACAGTTCCATGAGAAAAGGTCAAGGACTGATTTGTCTCTACAGGGTTATATCTAGCTTTGTCCGTATTTCTTCTGCTAGTTGGGCTGGTGGCTTTATGAGCACATATCTTCTGGCCACTGGGGTCATCACTGTCAGCTGCCAGGTTATTTCCAGTTTTTCAAAACTTTTACCCATGTTCACAGGGTAAGGAAGCAAAATACTCTTTGTCCAGAACAGAAGTTCATCAATGCCTAGAACAAGACCATGTTCACAAACCTACTCTTAAAATTTCCAAATTTGGAATCTGTCTCAGCAGCTCCCCAGAGCACTGTCCACAACTGCAGTTCTTAATCTCCCAAACTTCTTTGACTATCATTCCTATGCAAGGATCCTCTTAAGCACATCTCAAAAGAAGAACCAAAAGGCTTCAACTGACTATTGAATCACATTATGGACATTTGGGAAACCTCCTTAAGTATAGAAAGTAATTTTCCCTCTAACAAATACTTGCCAGTAGGCTCTGTTCTGACTGTTGTATAAAGGAATGAAAATTCTCCCCTACACATGAAAAGGTGCCCAACATCAGAAGTCATTAGGGAAATGCAAGTCAAAACCACAATGAGGTACCATTTCACATGCACCAGAACGGCAGTAATAAAAAAGACAATAACAGATGTTGGCAAGGATGTGGAGAAATTGGAACCTTCATATGTTGCTGGTGGGAATGTAAAATGGTCCAGTGCTTTAGAAGGTGGTTTGGCATTTCCTCAAAAAGTTAAGCATAGAGTTACCATATAACCTAGCACTTCCACTCCTGGGTACATACTGAAGAGAAATGAAAATATACGTCCACACAAAGATTTGTATGTGGGTGTTTCTAGTAGCATTATTCATAATAGGCAAAAAGCAGAAACCAACAGCTGATGAACGGGTAAATGGAATGGGGTATATCCAGACAATGGAATATTACTTAGTCATAAAAAGGAATGAAGTGTATTAATGCTACAACATAGAGGAATCTGGAAAACATTATACTAAGTGAAAGAAACTAGATACAAAAGACAGTGTATCATATGGTTGCATTTATGTGAAATGTCCAGAGTAGGCGAGTCTATAGAGACAGAAGGTAGATTTGTGGTTTCTAGGAGCTGAGGGAGTGGGGGAAATAGGGAGTTACTGCCAATATGTATGAGGTTTTTCATGGGGGATGATGAAAATGTTATGTAGAGAGTGGTGATCTATATATTTGTAAATATACTAGAAATTAATGAATTGTAAGCTTTAAATGAGTGACCCTTACAATATGTGAATTATATCTCAATAAGGTCGTTATTTTAAAAAAATCTTGCCTAGATTCCAACAGATTTTTAGGCTGTGTATTACAGTTTGTTATAAAATTTGGGAAAAGTCTATGGTATGAGTTGAATTTCATTTGGAAGAGTGATCTCGATCTGAGTCAGAAAGCTTGATACAACCCGATTTGCAGAGTAAACACTTGGTTCATACTAGAAGAAGCAAGGGATTGAGTTAGTAGGCTCCTTATAGCTTTAAGGGTATAAGAACAATGGTTTGTATAGCAGGTGGTCTCCAGGAAGAAGAACATTGCTTTCCTCCCTGTCTGGTACTTTACTTACCATCCTAGAGGCCAAGTATATTTATTAATAAGTACCACCAAGTGATAAGTACACATGTAAGAGCAAGAGCTGATTCTCTTTGGGAAGAGAAGTTTGGGGCAATTAGAATTTCTTTTTAATTTGATTTGGGGAATTTTCAGTGATTTTTTTAAAGGATTATTTTCTTCATTGGACCTACATTCACCCGTATGTATTAAGAATTGGAGAGATTCCATTTGGGTTAGATCCAAGCTGAGTTCAAGTTCAGCTCAGTTCTCATATTTTACAAGTTTATTTCTTGCCCTGGGATGATGACAAATGTTTATAAATACTCACCTTCCTCCTTTCTGCCATTCCCTTTTCCACTCGGAACACTGGTTTGTAGAATGTCTTGTCCTGATGTCCTAAGGAGGTCAAAGATGAACCCATTCTTAAAGATTACCACCCACGTCTAATCATTGGGTAACCAAAGCATGGGGATGAATTTTGGTGGGTTTCCAGCCCTGTTGCCAGGTGGGCAGTTGGTTCTATGCTGTGGAAAAAGTTGCTGCTATTTGCCATTTATTTTCTGAGTGACATTAGGGGATTTTGGAGCAGATGGAGAACCTGTCACCGCCTGCTGATTTACCACACAGAGGATGGCTCTTCTGCCTTATTGCTTTTTCCTTAGATAGCTTCTTTGTCCTTGGCTATTTTAATTTTCCTCCTGGTCACTTTTCCTTTTTTCTAGTCATCTGAGCAGAATTTTATTCCTCTCTTTAACTCAGAGTCACTTTTTATTTTAATGTTTACTTTTATTTTATTTTTCAGTCACTTTTAAGGCAGTTAAGGTTGTACAGGCTCTGGAACGAGTCTCCCACATATTAACTCTGCAACTTTGGTCAAGATATTTAGCTTTGCCAAATCTCAGTTTCTTCATGTGTAATTTGGGACTCAACCTAGAGGACTTGCTAGGATTAAACAAGGTGAGCTCTGTGGAGCACTTACCTGACATTTATTGAGCATTTACTTTATGCTTTTTGAAGGAGACCAACAAGCAGTTAGTCCTGCAGCTCCTGATAATAACAAAACAAGTTAAAGTTTGCTTAGTTATTCCTTCAGTAAAGTGCTCATCACTCTGTGCTGCAGTTTCGTCAGCTGTAAATAGAGGATAACCTTGCAGAGAGTTACCATGAAAATTAAATGAGATAGTATGTGCAAAATGGTACTTAGCACTGTACCTGGCATATGGTAAGCTCCTCATGAATGCCAGCAGTTTTACATTTTGAATCATTCCTGTACTTTCAGTGGAAAAAATGAAAAGGCTACATGGCCGCACCATGGGACTGAGTCATTCTGGGTTGGTCAAGCACTGTTCCGGGGTTGGTGTGCACAGCTAGCAACTTGACTGCCCCTTTCTTCCTCTTTCAGCTGCACAGTTGGACAGCATTGGCTTCAGCATCATCAGGAAATGCATCCACGCTGTGGAAACCAGAGGTAAAGTAGTTCAACAGATGGCATTATTCTCAGTGAAGGTTACACATCTGGTGAGGTGGCAGACCTGCTACCTGCTGTTTCCCAATGTCAAGTGACTCATTAACTCTCCAAATGCCATTGGCGGTGTGTTTCCACAAGGCCTGTTGCTCTGAAGTGCAGAGGCTCTCAACTGATTTAGTTGTCAGCCTCTTCGGCTGATCAGAAGATTGTTTTAAATGCATGCATATCAAATACATAGGATTATAAGGAATCCAGTTACTGAAATTCAGTTAAAATACTAAAACCGTGGTTGTGATATAATAATATATGTGTTTCTTTGCTAACACTTTCAGTTACAGTGGTGGGTCTGATAACTAGCATAATTCAGAAATAGTGATAGTTCAGGGTATCTGTAACAACTGTAACGTGTTCGGAAAATATCTGTGGTTTCTGACCAAGTTGCAGGTACTGCTAATGCTGTGATTTGTTGCTTATATTGCAGTGGAAGGAAATGTTTAATTTCAGTTATAGATTAGTGGAAATAAAGGTGTGGTTGTTTTCCAATGGAAGTTGATAGACACCCTGAATTCTCTAGTGGGCCACTTGGGGTCTGTAGACCCCAGATTAGGAACCCTGCCCTGGGCACTATCTGGGTAGGGAGAAGGGGTCAGGCCCCTGTTTTCCTGCCGTGGTGCTGTGGTCAGGCCCTGCCTGTCAAACACTGACCTTTCCTGGGTCCGTAGGAACAGCGCTTTGAGGTCAGGGAAGCTGGTTCATCCCCGTGATCTCCATCCCCTCCGCAAAGATCGCCGCAGAGGGGATTCCTCAGTTCCGGCAGTTTCGAGCTTTGAATGCACTGTCTGTTGTACGCAGAGAAAAGCTGATCACTGTCTTTCCACTGGATTTGATTTGAACCATTGTCAAAGATGGGAATCTTATTTATTCTACAGCCTCTCAACCCTCCAGCCCTTTTTATTTGTTTGAGGAAGTTCTGTCTTTTAAAACAGAAAGATGCCAGTTCAGAAGTATAAGCATGTTTGTAAAGGCTATGAAGCACTGAGTAGAGGGGAAGAAAAAAAAATACCCTTATAAGTTCTATTCCTAGGTATCTAGTCAAAAAGTATTCTTTCCTAGGTAATTATTTTAATGTGTGCTAACATTCTTATAGATGTTTCCTTATTTCTGCTATACCTTCCTTCAATGAAGAGTTAAGGTAGCTTGCAAAGATATGTAAAATATAGGCAGAGAATGTAAAGTAGTAGGCGAGATTTCTGGGAACTGATCTTGAGGAAATAAGGTCATGGGCCAACTTGAGCCACAAAGATGTTTATGCTATGGTGTTAAGGTAAAAAAATCAAAAACTGGCCAAATGTCTCAAAAATTGGTTACATCAACAGTGTGCTCCATGCATGCAGTGAAACACTGAATCACTAAAAATGCAGTGGAAATACATTTATTGAAATCCAAGATTTTCATTATTATATATCAAGTGAAAAATGCAAGTTACGAACCAGCCTGCCCACTCTGAACGGGTTCTGGGGATAGTGGGGAGGGGAGAGATCATACCTGCACAGGTTGTCAGTGGGTGTCTCTGCTGGTTTTCACTATCTTCCATGGATTTGTCTGTTTTCCATAACTGCAGTTTCTACATTTTTTTAAGTGTGTGTTACTAAGGTAATTCTTCAACAGCCAGTTGATTTTTGCTCATCATTTTAAAAGAAAAGAATGAGAAATCAGAGGTACAGGCTTAACAAAGGTAAAGGCATAAAAATGGAGCTAAAAGTGAGTTCAAAACAGAAGTCCCCTCCCCTCTACGATGAAGTTCACGTACATGCCGGAGGTGGGCTGACCGCTTAGTCTCTCAGTTCTCAGCCGCCAAAACCAAGAGGGCCACCTAATCATTTAAAATCCTTCACAGAATCTGTGTGATAAATGCAAACGCATAGCTCAGGAGGATGACTTTTTCTGATATAAAACCAGAAAATATGTGCAATAAGCAGTTAGAGGAAGAAGAGGGTCACCACTTGGTCTGGTCTCTTAGCCTCTGCCTCCTCGTCCCCTCCCCCTCTAAAATGAGGATGAACATGATGTATTTTAACAGCTAGAGAAGTTTTCATTTAGCACAAAGAGGAATCGAGGACCGTGTGTGTTAAATGCCATTTTTGCATAAATGCTTGGAAGGAAGTGGGTTGTCTCCCTACTGCAGTACGTGTATGTACACACATATTGGTGGTGACCAGAGGTGAACAGACTTCCCGTACTCTCTGAGGTCCATTAATCATCCAGCAGGAGCTGGGAGTGTGTCAAGCTCCAGGAAAGCACAAGGACAAAAGAAGTAGAGATGCTTCAGAAAGGATAAGCCCTTCAAGCCACCCCATGAATGAATAATGGTTCTGCTACTCAGTAACTTGGGGCCCATCCCTTAGGAGACCCGGGGTCTCCTAGCCGGTGAAGCAGGCAGGGTGATGTACATGCTTTTTTTTTTTTTCTTTTTTTTTCCAGCTGCGTCGGGTCTTGGTTGCAGCATGCAGGCTTCTCTCTAGTTGTGACATGTGGGTTCTCTCTCTAGTTGTGGTGCCCAGTCTCCAGGGTGCACGGGCTCTGTAGTTTGTGGCACGTGGACTCCCTTGAGTCCACGAGCTCAGTAGTTGTAGCGCGAGGGCTTAGTTGCCCCGCCACGTGCGGAATCTTAGTTCCCCTACCAGGGATCGAACCCATGTCCCCTGCATTGAAGGCAGATTCTTTACCACTGGACCACCAGGAAAGTCCTGATGTACATGCTTTTACAATCCATTTGAACTGTAAAATCCTCTCATTCCAGACCACTTCCTTTTGTTTATCAGTTCCACTTTTGTAGAGGTCTTGTTGAAGACACTGCAGAATCAGCCTTTTCCCAAGTTTATTCCAGGAAAGTTTGTTTTGACCCCAAACTGACGAATGTTTTATTCATTCTGTCCTGTACTGTAGACTGATCTAGGTGCTGGGGATATAACGGTAAAGAAGACAGAATCACTGTACTTAAAGTTTACATGGTAGTTGTGGGGGAAGACAAACAAGAAACCAAATAAGAAAGATGATTTCAGATACTGTTAACTACTATAAAGAAAAGACAACTGGGTAAGGCAGTGGCCAATAGTGTTGGTCATTGGGATGCTTTCTATTGAAGAGGTTGCATGTAAGCTGAGACCTGAATGATGAAAAGAGCTGGGAGAAGAGTGTTACAGGTAGAGGGAATCTTGTTCAGAGGCTGAGGTTTGGAGGCATGAGCTTTGTATATTGGAGTAACAGGAAGGCTGCTTCATGCTGGAGCAGCATGAAGGTGGTTGATAAAGCAGTCAGAGGTGGGCCTGTGCTCAACCATGTAGGGCCTTACGGGCCGCGGTAAGTTCTGATTGTGATCCAGATGCAATGGGAGGCCATTGGAAGGTTTTTAAGAAAAGAGATGGTTTGAACTGATTGATACTTTGAGAAGGTCATTTTGGGTACTGGGTGGAGAATGGACATCAGGGGAATAAGAAGCAGCAAGAGACCAGTTAGTTGAGAGGTGTCAGATATGATGGGCTTAGGACCAGCAGGAGAAAAGTCATTTCATATCAGTTGGTCTGAATGTAAATGATACAGTGATGATCTAATCCTTGCAGTTAAATGAACAAAGTACTGAGGCGGGTTAGTTTTGGTTCTTTGTTTGGGTGTTTGAAGGTAAACCCCTTTCAGCCTATTTGAATGTTTTCTTGGGTTTAAGAAAGGTGACCCACTTTTTTCTTTTTTTTTTTTTGTGGTACGCGGGCCTCTCACTGTTGTGGCCTCTCCTGTTGCGGAGCACAGGCTCCGGATGCGCAGGCCCAGCGGCCGTGGCTCATGGGCCCAGTCGCTCCGTGGCACGTGGGATCTTCCCGGACCGGGGCACGAACCCGTGTCCCCTGCATCGGCAGGCGGACTCTCAACCACTGCGCCATGAGGGAAGCCCCTCTTTTTTCTTTATGAAGAGTATTTGCACCACAAATGAATGGATTTTCTAATTTCTCAGTTTTGGCTAATATTGTCAAAAATTAAAACTGCCCCAGCACCTCAATATTTGCCTTCTCTATGTGAAAGTAAAGTGTTCATTTGTAAAGTGTTCATCCTTTTCTGTAGTATGAAAATTTTTTTTATCATTTCATTTTTGTCTTTTTAAATTAAAAAACTGGTTAAATATGATCTGTTTAAAAGTATATATTTAGCATCTTTCAAAACTCTTCAGATGCTGCCTTGGCAAGAGAAGAGGGAGGTTTCCTGCCCCTCTGATGACTGAACTAATACGAGGGCTGAAGTGTGCAGCACATCCATGAAATCCTAGACAGTTGTACCAAATCCCACTCCTTCGCTAAGAGCAGAGCTGAGTGACAGGGGACTTTAATTAGAGCAGCTTTTAGAAGGCCCGAGAAAATGAAAAAAAGTGCATTTGGCTGGGTTGGCCTGACTTGTGTTCTGACATGCCTCTAATTAAATCATCACTGTTTCTCTTCTCAGGGATCAATGAGCAAGGGCTCTACCGAATCGTGGGGGTCAATTCCAGAGTGCAGAAGCTGCTGAGTATCCTGATGGGTGAGTGCAGTGGCTCTGCCAGGCAGTTCCCAACGGTTGAAGGGGGAGCCTCTTGAGAAGGAATCTGGGTGTCCAAGAGGTAAATCCCAGAAACCAACTGACCCACTCACCAGCGGTCATGGCCATGGGCATTAGTGGAAGAGACATTGCATGGAATTGGACAAAACAAAAAATGGCCAGTCCAAGGCTCCACACCCTCTCTGTGGACTTGGTTACCACCAGTCCAAGTAGCGCTCCACCACTCATGTGACCGCCACACCCTACTCTGTCTTTAATAGCTCATGACTCCCTCTGTCCTCTTTGGAGACCGGCACTTCATGGGGCACACCCATTGCCCAAGGAAGCTCAATCCTTCTAGCCTGCAGAGGACCTCAGATCTCATGTTCCTAGTGACTGAGGAGGTGTCATCCCATGACTCCCAGATAAAATGTGTAGAAGCAGATAAGTCTTCTGATCCTCTTTGCTTCTAGATTTCCACCTAGTCTCTGTCATTTGAGCAGCAGAAGCTCCTTTGCAGCTGGCTGGTATAAATATACAACCACTGTCTCTAAATGTGCAGCATTTGAATCAAAAACCCATGAGCCGAATTTGCCTAGGCTGCACATTTCCTGTATTTTTAGATGTGAATGCAGGCAGCCTCGGTGAGTCACGTGGATCTAAATGGCAAACAGATCAGATTTCACAGGTCCCTGGCTGTTACTCATCCCCATGGAAGCCTAGCCACGCAGTGTTAGAGATAGACTGTCGCTCAGGGTCCCCGCTCAGTGTTTTGGGCAGGGACACTGCTCTTTGTTAGTATTTGTCTTTTTTTTTTTTTTTGCCATCCCAGTTTCTGAAAATAATTTTCATATGTATAGAAATCTCATCTCTCATGTTGATCAGAAAAACTGTCCCTTTTCGAGAGAGCTACTTGCCTCTTGTAAGCAAAAGTCTCATGTATGGTAGTTGCAGTGAGATCAGTTTGTTTAGCCATTCACCCTATGAAGGACAGCTGGGTTATTTCTAGTCTGGGGGTGAATAATGCTGCTGTAAACACTGTGTACAGGTTTTTGTATGAAGATTAATTTGTTTCTGTGGGATAAATGCCCAAGAGTGCTGTTGCTGCGTTGTACAGTGATATGGTTAATTTTTGAAAAGTTCTAACGTAAGAAAGAATGAACAGTCTAACAGGTATCAGTCCTCAGTCTTTCATTTCCAGTCAGAGCTGCAAACATTTGTGGAGTGTCTGCTCTCTGAAGCAGATTGTCAGGTGCTAGAGATGAAACTTTAGAAAGAGTCATTCTTTGTTTGCAGAGTATCCAGGTAGGGGGAGTTATGCATGTATGTGAAAACTGTAACGTAAAATATGATGTTGGCACCCAGTGGGAGCTGGATCTAGAAGACGGAGTAGTGAAGGAGAGAACAGAAGAATAATTCAGATTCAGGACACGTCATGAGCCAAGAGTATTGATTTCACTAGTAGTAGTAGTAGTATTTTATTATTTGAAAGTACTTGAGGCTGCAACAGGAGAGTGAAAGCTGAAAAGCTGAAATGGCCCCTTTGGTTGAGGAACTTGAATATTGTGCTAGGGAGTTTGGGGTTTTTTTCCTCTGTAGGAAGTAAGATGCTATTAAAATTTCAAAGTAGTGGAGTTGTATGTGTTAGTACTCTTTCTACACAAAAGTGTCAAGAAGACAATTCAGAATAGTCATTTATTTGTTCACATTACTGGTGAGTCCAAGATGGCAGAAGCATGGCAGGGTCTGGTGACTCCACATTTGTTGGAGGCTTTCCCACTCCTTTCTTCTGGCTTCTCATTATTTGTAAGCTCTACTTGTCTTCATATTGACTATATTCTCTGTGGGAAGGTCCCAGATAATCCAGCCTCAGTGGTCCTTGAAGCTTGTGTCACTGAAAGAAGCGTGTCTTTCTTGATGGTTTCGACAGAAGGTCCCAGGGTGGACTTTGACTGGTCCATGTGGGGGCCATTCACATGATTCATTTCACAGTCTCAGGCCAGTCACATGACGTACAGAAGATTGATCCCGATGGCCTGGATCCTGTGCCTGTCTCTGGTGATCCCATGCCACCTCTAGGAGGTTGGTGGGTGGGGGGCAGGTAGGGTGTGTGAGGGGTTAGTCCATAGAACCCTGGGGACTGAGCAGGACTATTAATAGAATGATAGAGGAGTGCTTTTCTGAAATAATGCTACTGGGTGATTTTTTTAAAAAAGTATGTCCAACATAGGTGTAACTCTATCAGATGCTAGTTTTGGGAGGATAATGCTGGCAGCAGTGTGGAGCACACATCTGATCATGGAGTCATATGGAGGAAGAAGACAGTTGGTATAGATTAGGCAGAGCATACCTGATCAATGGCTGAGCCAGATAGCTGCTCTGAGGTCAGGAAAAAAGGACAGGCTCAAAATGACTGGAGAAAGAGAATCAGTGGGACTTTGTAACCAACTAGATACAGGGGAGTCGAAGGGGCAGAGAGATTTCAGAGGCAGCAGATGATTATGTAAGGTGACACTAATGAAAAGAAATACGACATTTTAGACGGGTTTGCTAATTTAAAAAAGAACCATCTTAGCTCATTTGTGCTAAGCAAAGAGTGGTATGAAAAGATCTTGTTTTTATCACTTCCCTTAGTGACCTTTGAACAAGATATTTGTCCTGTTCTCTTCCTCAGTTTTCCTAGGGACAGACAAAATAATCATGAACATCTCAGAAATGTCATGAGAAATAAAAACCAGCAGGTGAAAAGTCACAAGGCCAGCTGTCTCTGCCAGGAGGACATTACAGATAGACTGGATCCCAAACTGAGGTTCAACCAGAGTTGAGAGATGACCACAGTGCAAGATCTAATCAGAAGTGTTGAGAATGGTATCTGGGATTCTTACTATCAATTAGGTTAAACATGAGATAGTTAAACATGAGATCTTGGAATTGAGGGATCAATTAAGTTAAACATGAGATCTTGGAATTGAGGGATCACCCATTAGGCCAGAGAAACTCCAGACCTGAAGGCAGAGCCCTGTCTCCCTTCCCCTTTGTGAACATGCTCTCATCTTCATCAGTTCTTGGTACTTGTCCTATACTGGGTTAGCCAAGAGTGTAAAAAAATATGGCTCCTATACTCCAAAGCCTCTCCCTGACATGGCTGGGTTGAGTGTGAACCATTCATTCCCTATTCTGGGTTCTATATTCACTGGATGCCCTATTATGTACCAGGTACTAAGATTTGGATTATTGGTCAGTCTCTCAGAAATGGAATAGTGCATTTTTATTACTGAAAATATGAGTTAGAATTAAGTAAAACCAGAGGTTTCCTTTGATCACTTGGAGTTGGCTTTGTGTACTCTTGATACATTGGGGGACTGTAGGTAGGAGGAAGAATAGAAGAGCCAGACTATGAGAACATCGTATTTTGCTGAGTAGGATTCCTTAAGAAAGCTTGCCAGAATTTCTCATAGCATATGCGTTGTGGCTTCCTGCTAGTGTCATACCAAGTGCTGCCCCTCATCCCTTCCTCCTGGCAACAGAGGTCATTAGTCTTTGAAGAGTGAAGAGGAGGAAGACTTGTAGATTCCTAGAAATAGCGTGGCTTCCATGTGTGTACTGTTTGTTTGTTTACTTTTTCTCCCCCGGTATGTTAAGTAAAGATAAATCTTTCTAAAGTTTAGCTCAACATTTAAAAAATACAGACAGCTCTGTCTATGCATGTTCAGTACATGTCTGTCTCTCCCTGTATAGTTTTTTATAAGAGATTTTTTTAAAATTAATTAATTTATTTTTGGCTACATTGGGTCTTCGTTGCTGTGTGGGCTTTTTCTAGTTATGGCAAGCGGGAGCCTCTCTTGTTTGCGGTGGCTTCTCTTGTTGCGGAGCACAGGCTCTAGGCACGCGGACTTCAGTAATTGTGGCACATGGGCTCAGTAGTTGTGGCTCGTGGGCTCTAGAGCGCAGGCTCAGTAGTTGTTGTGCGCGGGCTTAGTTGCTTCGCGGTATGTGGGATCTTCCTGGACCAGGGCTCGAACCCATGTCCCCTGCATTGGCAGGCGGATTCTTAACCACTGTGCCACCAGGGAAGTCCCATGTATAGATTTTTAAATACCTTTTTCTGATTAAAAGTTATGAGTGGTCATAGTAGCAAATTTGGAGAAATAGAAAAAGTAGAAAGAAGAAAAATAAAAGTCGGGCAGACCAGAGACAATCTTTACTGACCGTTTCATCATATGACTGTCACCTTTTAAATATAATATTCTATCATATAACATAAAAAATGCAAATTGGAATCACACTGTGCATATATAATGCTTTTAGCAGTCTTCTTTCACATAACAATACAGTGTCTATTTTATGTTACTCAGGTTCCTCTAAAGTGCGACTTTTTTGGGTCATGTATTGTGTAGGTCAGCCCCCTGTTCCCAGATCCATAAACTGACTTCAGTTCTTCATCATTCTAGAAAGCACTCAGGGGAACATCCCCGTGGGACAGGATAGCAGAGGTGTAGAGTGTACATTTTGGAGTTAAGCAAGTTATAATTAAACTGCTTGTCCATTTGACTTTACACAAGTTATCTAAGCCCGTCTAGTCTTCTATCTCATTATCTGTAGTAATAGCCTCTGCCTCTGTAATAATGGGAGGATTAAATGAAAAGATGCATGTGGGTTGCTGAGTCCAGAGCCTCCACATGTTAGTCACTAAATGTTAGCTGTTGTTATTTTTAATTTTTTAAATAAATTTATTTATATTTATTTTTGGCTGTGTTGGGTCTTCGTTGCCATGTAGGGGCTACTCTTTGTTGCAGTGCGCGAGCTTCTCTTTGCGGTGGCTTCTCTTGTTGCGGAGCACGGGCTCTAGGCGCGTGGGCTTCAGTAGTTGTGGCGTGCGGGCTCAGTAATTGTGGTGCATGGCTTAGTTGCTCCGTGGCATGTGGGATCTTCCCAGACCAGGGCTTGAACCCATGTCCCCTGCATTGGCAGGTGGATTCTTAACCACTGTGCCACTAGGGAAG